GACGTGACATGTTCGTACGAACCCTTTGTACGAACAAAAGTAAGAGAAATTTAGGATAAAAATACGAACATGTTCTTGCATGAGGCCCATTATTTTTATACTACATTTATCCATTTTAAATACACTAACCTCACTCATTTGTAACAACTAGGGCAAATATGTGATTAATTCAGAAAATCTTTTCAGGACCCCACCTTGATGTTTCGGGACCCCACTTTGGGTCCCGACCCCAACTTTGGGAACCACTGTTATAGAGAACGGTGCAGAACAGAGCAGTCAAATGGAAGCAGGTTCAAACTGTCCTTTAGGGTTAATGTGGCTGGCATGTTCCAGTGAGTGTGGAACAGGGGTTAGGTTTTTAAGACTAAAAATCAGTACTTGACGTTTTCTTCCCAGCACTGTCAYGCAGCTGCACGTCTGTTTGTCTTTAGCATAGCCCAAGTGCATTCACATGCATACTCACACAACCATGTATCTGACCTGCACACACAAACACACACACACAGGTCTCAAACCAAAGCTGTTCCTTCACGAGGTTATGTAAGGGGGGATTAGGTCCCTCTGTTTTGTGGCCCCCAACAGTAAAAACTGTGCGAGCTATTTTTGACCCCTGGACCTCGATGTACTTTCCACAAATGATCACCACAGTAATGGGTAGACTGGGAGCTGCTGCTGCTCATGTGGACATGCTGTTCTAACGTTCATTCAATGTGTGGGACACCTACAACAACAAGCATCACTTCTTGGACAGTATGAATGTTTCTGCTCAATCTGGGACTGTTTGAAGACCGTTCATCTGTCTGTTTTATTACCTAAAGCTTGTTTCTGAGCCATGATTGGCAAAAATATTCACCCAATATGATCAAACGTACTGAATTAAATGTTTAAAACAAACAGATTAAATTACGATTTGCACTATTTTTTAACTTTCCATTTCTTTACTTTTGTTACAGTTTTAKTTACACAGTAACTTTAATAATTTAGGTTTGTAAAACTGAGATTAAAACAATGTCATGTTTTAAGCATTTAAATGAATAAACAGGCAGAACGATAGTTGACAGATAAGGAATTAACTTCATTTCCAACAAAAATCAAAAGCACAGCATTAATAAGCATCCCTAAAACTAAATGAGATTCTGAAAATGGAGCAAAACTCATTAAATTGAAAATACAGTATGTGAACATGAGAAAAACATAGGACATCTGAGGAGCATTAGGACAAATCAGAATGAGATTATATATATA